CCTGGCTAACACAGTGAAACCCCGTCTCTACTAAAAATACAAAAAATTAGCCGGGGGTGGTGGTGGACGCCTGTAGTCCCGGCTGCTCGGGAGGCTGAGGCAGGAGAACAGCGTGAACCCGGCAGGCGGAGCTTGCAGTGAGCCGAGATGGCGCCACTGCACTCCAGCCTAGGTGACAGAGTGAGACTCCTTGACCCCACCCCCCGACACCCCAAAAGAAGACAAGGAACCAAAGTTTCAAGAACCCAGATTTAAATTCAACCTGTGAAGAGCTTTCTAACAATTGAAGTAGTACTTCAGTGGAGTAGATAAATCCTGGGAAGGGATTCATACTGAGGCTGCTTAGTCAGGTAGAAGGGATTTTTGTTTGTTTGTTTGTTTTGTTTTGTTTTGTAGCTGGAATCTCGCTCTGTCGCCGGACTGGAGTGCAGTGGAGCGATCTCGGCTCACTGCAACCTCCGTTTCCCGGGTTCAAGTGATTCGGTAGGAGGGATATTTTACAGTACTGCTCAAAATGTAGTCCATGAAATGTTGCTGCTCCACACATTCTTTTTCTTCTTCTTCTTCTTTCTTTTATTTTCTTTTTAATTTATTTTATGTACAAAGAGCTAGCATGGTTTCCTTCACTGGGTAGATGACTTTGGTAATCTATTCAAGGAAGATCACTTAGCCCAACATAATGAAGTCTACCTATAAGTTTGCATACTGATGGAAAAATTGGCTGCACATAATCTGGATCAAACCATGCTGGTTGGAGCAGAAGCAATAAGAATGAGAACCCTGGCCAAATTTTCATGAATGGCTCCCGTAGAGCTGCTATTGATGCATCTTGCTTTCAGGATTTCAATGAGGCAAAGAGGCAAAAGGCCTGTCTCTTTTTCTTGAGATTTAAATTTTGCCAGGTGCGGTGGCTCACGCCTGTAATCCCAGCACTTTGGGAGGCCGAGGTGCGTAGATCACGAGGTCAGGAGATCGAGACCATCCTGGCTAACACGGTGAAATCCCGTCTCTACCAAAAAATACAAAAAATTAGCCAGGCGTGGTGGTGGGTGCCTGTAATCTCAGGCTGAGGCAAAACCCGGGAGGGGGAGGTTAAGGTGAGCCGAGATCTGGCCAGGGTACTCCACCCTGGGCAACAGAGCAAGACTCCATCTCAAAAATAAATAAATAAATAAACAAACAAATAAATAAAAATAATTTTAAAATTGTTAAAAGGGTTGGGTACGGTGGCTTACACTTGTAATCCCAGCACTTTGGGAGGCTGAGGCAGGTGGATCGCCTGAGGTCACGAGTTCGAGACCAGCCTGGCCAACATGGTGAAACCCCGTCTGTATTAAGAATACAAAAATTAGCCAGGTGTGGTGGCACGTGCCTGTAATCCCAGCTACTCAGGAGGCTGAGGCAGAAGAATCGCTTGAACCCGGGAAGCAGAGGTGCAGTGAGCCGAGATGGCGCCACTACACTCCAGCCTGGGCGACAGGGAGACTCTGTCTCAAACAAAACAAAACAAAACAAAAAAATTGTTAAAAGGATAGATCTCATGTTATGTGTTCTTTCCACAATAACACAAAATCCAGAATAGATTGCCATCCTATGTTTGTCAGTATATTAGAAAGGAACAGAAGATATTTGATACATAAATATGTAAGTGGTCTATATTTTATAAGTGGATTTTTTTTGTTATTGTAATACGTTTTTCATTTATAGGAAACATGATTATAGATGTAAAACCGCACCTGGCCTTCACAATTTTTTAAGTGCACAATATAGTGATGTTCTCTAGGCACAATGTTGTACAGCAGATCTCTAGAAATTAATCATCTTGCCTAACTGAAATTTTATACCCATTGAATAGCAACTCAAGCATTTTCCCGTTTGCCCCTCCCTGCAGCCCCTGGAAACCACCGTTCTACTCTCTGCTTGTATGTGTTTAGCTATTTTACATACCTTATGTAAGTGGAATCGTGCAATATTTGTTCTTCTGTGACTGGCTAATTTCACTTAGCGTAACATCTTCCAGATTCATCCATGTTGTCACATATGGTATGATTTCTTTCTTTTATAAGGCCAAATAATATTCCATTGTATGTATTTACCACATTTCTTTATCAATCATCCGTCAGTAGACATTTAGGTAGCTTCCTCATCTTGGCTGTTGTGAATAATGTTGCAATGAACATGGTAGTGAAAATACCTCTTTGAGATCCCAATTTCTCTGACTTCCACGTATTCTTTGTTACTGGTCCACAAGAGAAGGAGCTTGTACCAGGTCATAAATTCATGCACTGCTTCCTTTGTCAATAGAGCTTCGCAGGCCTGGCATGGTGGCTCATGCCTGTAATCCCAGCACTTTGGGAGGCCAAAGTGGGAGGATCACCTGAAGTCAGAAGTTCGAGACCAGTATGACCAACATGGCAAAACCCCATCTCTACTAAAAATACAAAAATTAGCCAGGCATGGTGGAGCACAGCTGTAATCCCAGCTACTCAGGAGGCTGAAGCAGGAGAATCACTTGAACCCAGGAGGCAGAGATTGCAGTGAGCCGAGATCGCACCATTGCACTCTAGCCTAGGCAACAGAGTGAGACTCCATCTCAACAAAGAAAAACAAAAGCCTTGTTATAAAGAGAAAATGTCAGTGAAACTAAACAATGACCTTAGTGTCATTCTTGAGTACTTTGATTATTGTTGTAATGGAAGGAATTTATGCACTAAGTAGTTGATGAAACTATAGAATATTTGCAGTAATCAAATGATCACATTACAAAATATATATCAATGGAAAAGCAGTTTTAACACTAAGATCTATATCTCACTTTATGAGAATATATTTGATTTTTTTGTTTTTTTGTTTTTTTTTTTTTTTGAGACGGAGTCTCACTTTGTCGCCCAGGCTAGAGTGCAGTGGCGTGATCTCAGCTCACTGCAGCCTCCGACTCCTGGGTTCAAGCAATTCTCCTGCCTCAGGTTCCTGACTAGCTGGGATTACAGGCACACGCCACCACGCCTGACTAATTTTTGTATTTTTATTAGAGACGGGGTTTCACCATGTTGGCCAGACTGGTCTGCAACTCCTGACCTCAGCTGATCCACCTGCCTTGACTCCCAAAGTGCTGGGATTACAGGGGTGAGCCACCACGTACAGACTGGTAATATATTTGAAAGCTCATACCACAGTAGTATAAAGTTGTCAAAAAACATGGATCACTGCTGCTCTGTGGAACTTGTTTTTTGAAATCTATTAATTGTATCTGAGTACAACCACTATGGAAAACAGTGTGGAGACTCCTTAAAGAATTAAAAATAAGTCTACCATTTGACCCAGCAATTCCACTACTGTGTATCTATCGAGAGGAAGAGAAGTCATATACAAAAAAAAGTGTGTGTATATATACACACATATACATACACATATGTGCATATATGCATACACATATACATGCATGTACGTATATATACACATGTGTTTTATATACATGTGAATATATGCATATACATATATACATGCATGTGTGTATGCATATGCATGTGTACATGTGTATCTATGTGCATATATACACACGCATGTATGTATACATGTATGCATATATACATACATGTATGATATGTATATGTATATATACATGAGTGTGTGTATATATATACACACACGCATATACACACACACACACACACACGGCATACTACTCAGCCAAAAAACCCACAAAATAATGCCATTTGCAGCAACCTGGATGGAATTGGAGACCATTATTCTAAGTGAAGTAACTCAGGAATGGAAAACCAAATATCGTATGTTCTCACTCATAAGTGGGAGCTAAGCCATGAGGACGCAAAGGCATAAAGATGATACAATGGACTCTGGGGACTCAAGGGGAAGGGCGACAGTGGGGCAAGGGATAAAAGACTACACATTGGGTACAGTGTACACTGCTTGGGTGTTGGGTGCACCAAAATCTCAGAGATCACTACTAAAGAACTTATCCATGTAACCTAACACCACCTGTCCCCCAAAAATCTATGGAAATTTTTTTTAAATGAAAAAAGTACCTGACAGAAATGCTCAATAAATATTATTTATCATTCAAAAAAAGTATCTACACTAAGAAGAGCCTCTAAGTGGACTAAATAATACATATTGCATATGTACATGTGCTGCCGTTTGAGAATATAAAGATTCTATTATGATTATAAAATAAGAATGCAGGCCGGGCACGGTGGCTTACACCTATAAACCCAGCACTTTGGGAGGCCGAGGTGGGCGGATCATTTGAGGTCAGGAGTTCAAGACCAGACTGGGTAACATGGTGAAACCCTGTCTCTACTAAAAATACAAAAATTAGCCAGGCGTGGTGGCACATGCCTGTAATCCCAGCTACTCAGGAGGCTGAGGCAGGAGAATCGCTTGAACCCAGGAGGCAGAGGTTGCAGTGAGCTGAGATTGTGCCATTGCACTCCAATCTGAGCAACAGAATAAGACTCTGTCTCAAAAAAAAAAGGAAAAAAAAGCATTTAAAGTGCTACTGAATTAAAAGTAGCTTTTAATTAATATGTATTTTCCCAAGCAATATGTACTAAAAGTATCATTTCTGTTACGTGGAGATTCAAACACTTTTTATGTAATGAGTGTCTTTACACTGATAAGTTTGCTAATAATCCAGGGCCTCTTCATACGGCTGTGCAGTTTGTGCAGTTTGTGCACTGCACATAACGCTGGGTGAGCTCCAGCCCCCATGGACTAACCCAGCCATCAGCCCAGTGAAACTGCATCATGTGTAAGGGGACCAACTGTCCCAGTTTGCCCAGGACTAAAAGGCTTCCCAGGATATGGGACTTTCAGTGTCATACCCAGCACGGTCCTGGGAAAACCACCCTAATTAGAGCACAGACATGCCATATGTACTAGCTTCAGCCTTGGAATCCTTTCTCTAGAACTATAAGCCTAAAATAGCTGAAAAGATGAAGTCATTTTTATATCACTTCTTTTCTCTTTATGTTTTAAAGGTGAGAGAACCATGTAATCATGCCAACATCCTGACCAAGCCCGATCCAAGAACCTTCTGGACTAATGATGATTCAGGTACTATTGGAAAAATACAATCTGCTTCCTGTTATGTACAGGATGCATTCTGTAGTAAAGCTCTAACAAAGGCAAGGTTTGGGGGAAAATTTTGTTCGTTTGTTTATTCTTACCTAACCCAACACTCGAATGCACTTTGTAATTAATTAATTTTTTTTTGTTTGGAGACAGAGTCTTACTCTGTCACCCAGGCTAGAGTACATTGGTGCGATCTCGGCTCACTGCAACCACCACCTCCAGGGTTCAAGTGATTCTCCTGTTTCAGCCTCCCAAGTAGTTGGGACTACAGGCTTGAGCCACCATGCCTGGATAATTTTTGTATTTTTAATGGAGACAGGATTTCACCATATTAGCCAGGCTGGTCTCGAACTCCTGACCTCAGGCAATCCGCTGGGCTTGACCTCCCAAAGTGCTGGGAATACAGGTGTGAGCCACCACGCCCAGCCTTGCAATCAATTTTATCCTAAAAGTCCTTTTGTTATATCTTCTTTTCAGTATCTAAAACATATATACTAGATCCCTTTGTCATTTATAAGTATGATGATTGGGTTTTCATGTCCCTGTGTGAGATATGTCTCCCTCAAGCCTTGTTATGATGTCTGCACATTACCTGCCTGTCATTAAAAAAAAAAAAAAAGTGTGTGTGTGTGTATATATATATATATATGTATATATCTCATCAGGTACAGCTTTGTGAATTGTGAAGCATATTTAAGTGTTGGGAGGAATAATAAAGGAATGAGTCTATTTGCTGAAATGGAAGACAGAGGAGTCGAATAAAGTGGGCAAATACATGAGTCCAAGTTTGTCTTCTAGGGCAAGGAAGAGATTTGAAAACCTAGGGTGAATCATACTTCAGAATACTTATGTGAGGGCATGTATGACTTGCACTATGATATTAGGGCTATACATCTAATCAGAATCAGAGGAATGCCACTTTATGAGATTGGAGAATATGCTTCAGGTTATATGATAAGAAATTATGTTTAGACAAAGAGTAGGGTATGTTCTCATAGCAAATAGAAGACATTTAAAAATTCTTTATCACAAACACACATGAGCCATGAGGCCTAATTGCACAAAGCAGACACTAGGAATAAAAGGGTAGGTGAAGCAAAAAGGAGCTAAAACAATTAAGAGAGTGATAATAGAGCTTTCACCTTTTCTCGTGAAATAGGTCTAATGAAATAGAAAACTCATGCTGATATCTGATATTTGTATTATGCCTCATGCTTTTACAAGGGGTATTCACAGAAATCTAATGTAGTGTTTGCCGCAATCCCTTGAAATAGGAGGGACAGCCCTTTCTTGTTATGCCTCTATTAGAAATGAAATAATAAGCTGAATAGGTTAGCTGACATATTCAAAGCTCGCAGCCAGAAAACACCAAAACTGGGAGAATGGAAAGTGGACTGCCCAGTTCTATAGCACGCTTCCTAGAAACAGCTCTCCTGGCAGAAACAGCTTGGGCTAAATCTGTGCTATAATCTGTTCTTCATAAAAGGGAGTCAGAGACTGTGCCTAACAGGAGGACTTGAGAAGGAAAGTGAGAAACTCTCTGATGGTTTTTCTTTTTTTTCCCCAAAGACCAGACTTATGGTCTAAACATTATCAATTTCATCTGTCAAAAAATTTTTTTCTGTCTTGTTTTATTATGTCTTTTGAAGAAAGAAGAAAAAAAACATAAAAGTGAATTAGCCTATTTATTCCATCATTTCAGCCCATTAGCAGTATACCACCACAATAAACAAGCCATCTGCTGGCTGATACTGCTATTAAGACCTACAGCACATGTGTTATGAAGAAGCAATGTAGAATGAAGCATTACCAAAGAAACATAAATGATTCTTGATGTTATGTAAAGAAAATGGAAAGGGAGGAAAATCTGTACAGGACAGGTCTAGAAAATGGTGCTTGACCAGCAGCCCTCGGGACTGCTCTATCTATGAAGTAGCCATTCTTTATCCCTTTACTTTCTTAATAAACTTGCTTTCACTCAAAAAAAAAAAAAAAAAAAAAAGAAAAAGAAAAAAAAAAGAAACAGAAAATGTTAGTTGGACACTTTTAGAAGCCTAAAGAAATTATGTTACGGGCTGGGTGTGGTGGCTCATGCCTGTAATCCCAGCATTTTGGGGGGCCAAGGTGGTTGGATCACCTGAGGTCAGGAGTTCGAGACCAGCCTGGCCAACATGGTGAAACCCCATCTCTACTAAAAATACAAAATTGGCTGGGTATGGTGGCAGGCACCTGTAATCTCAGCTACTTGGGAGACTGAGTTAGGATAATCACTTGAATCCAGGAGGCAGAGGTTGTAGTGAGTCAAGATTGTGCCATTACATTCCAGCCTGGGCAAAAAGAGTGAAATTCCGTCTTTAAAAAAAAAAAAAAAAAAGTTACAAGAAAAACTAATGCAGAACACATAGAGAAACAGGAATAGAAATATTTCTGACCTATTCTTTTTATTTATTTATTTATTTTCTGAAACAGAGTCTTGCTCTGTCACCCAGGTTGGAGTGCAGTGGTACAATAGGCTTACTCATTTTTAAAACGTTTTTATTACTTTTCCTTCATCAGTAGGGTTACAAAGAATGGCATGTCCCTCCTACAAGAGCTCATCTCATGAAAATCCTTCCCAGCCACCCACTTAACCAACTCACAAAGCAGGATCTATGTCTAGAGTAATTTTTTTCTTTTCTTTTTTTTTTTTTCTACCTAGTTGGTTAGTCCATCACTAAGAGCTTTTTAAAATCTCCACCTCTAGTGGTAGAATTGTCTTTTGGTTCTTTTAATTCAGTCAATTTTTGCTTTATATATTTTGAACCTCTGTTATTAGGCATGTACACCTTTATTTATTTTTTTATTTTTCATTTTTTTCTGATGCAGAGTTTTGCGGTTTTTTTTTTTTTTTTTTTTTTTTTTTTTTTTTTTTTTTTTTTTTTGAGACGGAGTCTCGCTCTGTCCCCCAGGCTGGAGTGCAGTGGCGCAATCTCGGCTCACTACAAGCTCCGCCTCCCAGGTTCATGCCATTCTCCTGCCTCAGCTTCCCCAGTAGCTGGGACTACAGGTGCCGGCCACCACGCCTGGCTAATTTTTTGTATTTTTTAGTAGAGACGGGGTGGGGTTTCACCGTATTTGTGTTAGCCAAGATGGTCTCGATCTCCTGAGCTTGTGATCTGCCCGCCTTCGGCCTCCCAAAGTGCTGGGATTACAGGCATGGGCCACTGTGCCCTGCCGAGTTTTGCACTTGTTGCCCAGGCTGGAGTGCAATGGCATGATCTCGGCTTGGCTCACTGCAACCTCTGCTTCCCGGGTTCAAGCACGGGTTCAAGCAATTCTCCTTTCTCAGCTTCCTGAGTAGCTGGGATTACAGGCACGTGCCACCACAGCCAGCTAAGTTTTGTATTTTTAGTAGAGAAAGGGTTTCGCCATGTTGGTCAGGCTGGGCTCCAACTCCTGACCTCAGGTGATCCATCTGCCTCAGCCTCCCAAAGTGCTGGGATTACAGATGTGAGCCACTGTGCCCAACCACACATACATCTTTATGATTATTATTATTTCCTAATGAACTGATCATTTTATCTTTAGGAAATGTCCTTGTTTATCTCTGATAAAAGTCTTTGTTTGAAGTCTATTTCTTCTGATAGATATAGCCAGTCCAATCTTAAAAAGCCTACTTTTCACATGGCATATATTTATTTTCCATTTTCTTTCAACCTGTGTCTTATAGTTAAGGTGCTTATCTTGTAGATGTCATGTGGTTAGATTTTTCTTTTAAAATCCTGTCTAACAATCTGTTTTTTACTTGGGATGTTTAGACCATTTACACTTAATGTAATGACACAGATTTAATTTTACTGTTTTGCTATTTGTTTTCTATATGTCCCTTCTCTCCTTTATTTGCTTGTTCTTCCTTTTCTGACTTCTCTAGGATTATTTGAATAGGTTTTAGAATTTAATATTAATCTACCCGTTGACTTTCTAGTTATCCTCTTTGCATCATATTTTCAGTGGTGCTCTAAAGATTACAATAAATGACTTCATTTTTATTTTTCTTTTTTTGAGACAGAGTCTCACTCTGTTGCCCAGGCTGGAGTGCAGTGGCACAATCTTGGTTCACTGTGACCTCCACCTTCTGGGTTCAAGTAATTATCCTGTCTCATCCTCTCAGGTAGTGGGATTACAGGCATGTGCCACCACGCCTGGCTAATTTTTGTAGTTTTAGTAGAGACGGGGTTTCAGTATGCTGGCCAGGTTGATCTTGATCTCCTGACCTCAAGTGATCTGCCTCCCTTGGCCTCCCAAAGTGCTGGGATTACAGGCATGAGCCACTGTACCTGGCCTACAATAATTGACCTCAAATTTTCATAGACCACTGTCAAAATTTTCAAACAATGTAGGTGCATCTACCCTACTCTACCCTCATCTTTTATATTATAGCTGTCATATATATTATCTATATGTGTACTAAACCCTACAGTACAGTGCATTTTTTAAAAAATAAGAGGAAAATTATCTTTTGTATTTATCCAGATATTTACCATTTCTGATGTTCTTCATTTCTTCCTGAAAATCTGTTTCTCTCTGGTGTCATTTCCCTTTAGCCTGGAAATTTTCCTTTAGAATTTCTTTTTTTTCAATGTTTTTATTATTTTTTGAGATAGAATCTCACTCTGCCACCCAGGCTGGAGTGCAGTGGCGAGACCTCAGCTCACTGCAACCTCCACCTCCTGGGTATAAGCAATTCTCCTGTCTCCTGTCTCAGCCCCCGAGTAGCTGGGATCACAGATGCATGCCACCATGCCTGGCTAATTTTTGCATTTTTAATAGAGACAGCGTTTCACCATGTTGGCCAGGCTGGTCTTGAACTCCTGACCTCAAGTGATCCACCCTCCTAAGCCTCCCAAAGTGCTGGGATTTTAGGAGTGAGCCAACGCGCCTGGCCAGGATTTCTTATAAGTCTTCTGGCAGGGAAATATCTTAGCTTTCTTTTGTCTACATGA